CCAGAGTGACAGGTAGGCAGAGCAGGTGCCGACGGACTTCTCTCTCCTGGGTCCCCTCTGCTGTCTCAGACACACCTCAGGGCCCGCAGTGCTGTGAGTTTTTCCTGGTGTGAGTAACATTTCAGACAAGGATATTCTTGCTGCACGTAGACCAAAGAGGATTGACCTTTTCATCTGGCTAAGCTCGGAGGGGTTGACCCAGCAGCAAGTTCCTCTCCCTTCTGGGGCGGAGGAGGCTTCCTTCCAGTATCCGGAGCTTTGGGAAGTTCCCAGGTGCTTTGAAGCGTGACTGGATGGGCCACACCCAGTTTTGGAGCACTTCCCTCCAGACTTGAAGGGCCTACGTGCGGCCTATCGCCAGGCCAATGGGGGTCCCAACGGCCCTTGACAATTCCGATTGGAGAGTGAGACCCTCAGTGTGGGTGGCATGCCTAGAACATAGATATAAAATCAGACAGATTCAACATTGCCAGTGGAGTGGGAGGGCATGTGTGTCGTGTGGATTAATCCTGCCACCTCCTTCACGGCTAAACCAGACACAGGCTTTGTACCATTGTGCTACGCTCTTACAGTGACCACCCTCTAACTAGGTTACATGCACTCCCTCATATATTCCTTTGTGGGGTGCCTGTCACCCTCAGATGGGGCATGATGTTTGGCAATTTTGGATCCTTAGGTATTTGTGCCAAGTGACACTCAAAGCTGGAAAGGCTCACACTCTGAACACACCCCGCCAGCCACACAGACTCCATTCCTCTGTCTGTGACCTCGTACCTGGAGGGTGGCCCCCAGCCTGTCGTGGACTCTGGTGGAGATGGCCAACACTGCCACCTGGGCTCTTTAGGACCAACAAGACTTGCTGAACTCATGGGCCAGGAGGATGGTGCGTGGCTGAACGGTTTCTGATTCTGTGCTGGAAGAACAGGGTGGTGTGTGGTCATTGCCAACACCTCCTGCTGTACTTACAGAGACACCGTGGGAGAGACCCAGAACCAGTCCCCTACCCTCAATTGGTTGCAAACAGTGGAGCCATTTGAAGGATCCTTCTTTGGCCTCTTCAGCACCTTCTTCTCTAGATGGCTGGGGAGATGTTAGGCCTATGAGATGAATCATCTTTGCAGCCTCCTGGCTTGCAGGGTGGACTGCAGAATAAGCTCCCACATGGCCTTGCTGACCCAGCTATTCCAGTTGCCCCTGGTGTATAAAACCCAGGGAAGAGTGCTCCAGCAACATGGGTATATGTAGGTGAGACTCCATCCTGCCTGGGTGTTTTTCCTGAACCTTGGGGGACCAGCTCGCCATGAATTCTAAGCGTCTGTGGTCCGTGGTTGCCAATCTGCGAGCTATAATGTTGCTTTGCAGCTGGGTACAGAGTTGCAGGCCTGTAATCCCAGGAACTCAGGAGGGTGGGGCAGGAGGGCCACATGTTCAAAATCAACCTGAGCGACTTAGTAAGACCTTGTTTCCAATATAAAAAATAAAAAAGGACTGGGGATGTAGCTCAGTGTAAAGAACCCCTGGGTTCAATCCTCAGTACCCCACCCCCAATACAGTTGCTTTGCTTAAATTCGTGGGATCGTTGTGTCTCACTGGACTTGTGCAAGTGGTAGAGTAGCCAGTGTGTGGGCCTGTACTTTACAGGTAGTGGTCACCCTAGTCCAAATTCTCAGGCAGTGTGATGGGAAAGTGAGTGGACAGAAGACAGAAAGGCATTGTTCTCTCCCTTCCTGAAAAGCCCTGGGCCCTGCTTTAAAAATTGATCCTCTACTCCAGTGGCCAGCTTTGCGTCCCCCAGTAACTCAGGGAGAGTTCTTCTTTCTTGCCTCATTGGCTTCATTCATTTCTTCCACAGACAAGACAAAAACCAAACCCAAAACCTGAAGGTGACATTTGGTTTGCCGGAACCCAGGGTCGGTACCTATTCTGTTAAAACAACAAGAAGCAATGCTTCCTCCGGCCCTCTTCACCTCCATCCCCACCTGCTAGAGTCTGGAATGTTCCTCCAAAGACCCATAAGCTGGAGGCTTGGTCCCCCGGGCGAGAGGTGGGAACTGCTCAGAGGCTAGAACTGATCTGAGGTTGCCCATCTCTCTAGACCCAGAATCCCAGACCCCTTTAAAGTAACTCTGCCCTCTTTCTCTCTCGTTGAACACCTGGGAGTTTATTTCCTCTCTGGGCACGGTAGCTTCAGAGAAATGACTTGGTGGTGGGAAGATCACTTGTCGTTATGGAGGGACTCCCCAAAGCCAGGCTCTGGGTTAACTTGCAGACGGCTGAGCTGGGTGGGGGAGGGCGGCGGCTGCCATCCTGCCCTACTGGAAGTTGCGGGCATATCCTTCCCTATTTCTTGGGTAACTAAAAGAGTCCTTTGGTTGTCATAACTTTTTTTTTTTTTGTATTGCTGACTTAATTTTTATATTACTTTAATTTGACATAATTTAGTTTGATACAAGTTAAAACTTAGAGAAAAATCACAAGTGTAGGGTTGGACATTCCCATATGCCCTTGACCCACGATGACCAATGTAAACCTTTGTTTCTGTTTTTTTTTTTTTAAATTCGAAGCTGTCTTTATAACTCTTTTTTTTTTTTTTTAAAGGAGCTATTTTTTTTTTTAAGAGAGTGAGAGAGAGGGGGACAGAGAGAGAGAGAGAGAGAGAGAGAGAATTTTAACATTTATTTATTTTTTCTTAGTTCTCGGCGGACACAACATCTTTGTTGGTATGTGGTGCTGCTGAGGATCGAACCCGGGCCGCACGCATGCCAGGCGAGCGCGCTACCGCTTGAGCCACATCCCCAGCCCCTTGATAACTCTTTTCAGATGCTTGCATGATGACATTCTCTTAAAATTCTCCCTTCTACTTTAGAGTACCTATTTATTTCTAGTTGAGATTGCAAAAATTTGGATCAATCATGCTTTTACCTGTTAATTGTTTTTTCAAATGTTCTAGGTTTTTCTATCATTTTTTCACAGCGATTTGATTGATTTAAGAGAGGGAGTGGTGAAAGTGAGCTTGACTATTTAAAAAGTTTGAATCTTGTGTTGTATTCCACTACTTTTTGTACACAGTGATTTCAGGGGTGGCGGTACTTTTTAAAAATCAATGAACTATCTGGTGGTGGTAAGTTCCGGGTTTGCAGAAGACCTGAACAGAGAGTGCAGAGGGTTCCCATATGCCCTGGGCTGTCTCTGTTTCCCTATTGACCCCCGGCATTGGGGTGTTCGCATGCTAATTGATGGGCTAATATTGATCCTTATGGCCATTAAAGCCCATGGCTTACCCCAGGGTTCAACCCAGCAGCTGTGCCTTCTATGGGGTTTGGTCTAATGACTCATGTGCTGCCTTGTGGCGCGGTACCCAGCGGTTTCACAAACTTTGGTCCCTTGGCTTCCCTGAGCGCCAGTCTTCCTGCACAGCCCAGACCCCAAGGATTTCCTGTTGGGTGGGGAAGACAGGGGCAGCCCCTGGCAGCCAGGAACTTTGCGCGGTGCTTTTCCTGTGACAACACCCTTGATCCCCTACCGCTTCCTTGGCTGGGCACCAAACAAGAGGCCGGTGCCCGGGTGGAGTGAGAGGAGCTTCCTGGAGGCGAAAGGGAGTGGCCACACTGTCGGCTGATTGCTCTTACTCCACGCCTGAGCCCGGCCCAGGGCCTTCCCACAGTGATTTTGGGAGCTTGGGCTGCCTTGAGGGAAGAATTTTTAAAAGGAAAATTGAGAACTGACTGTATTAGGGGAAAAAAATTGGAAATAAAGACAAAGGCCTGATATAAAACTCTCTACATCTACTAAAAATCATATATGTATATATTTAAAAGAATGAGCAGGTATCGTTTTATCATAACAATAAAACTATTCTCATCTTAGGGAATTTCTTCATCTGAAAAATAGGGCTGCTTTGAAGGTGTGCTGAGTGCCCAATGCCTCTTCACTTCATGGCAAACAGAGACTCGTTTAGAATAGTTTTAGGTTTATAGAAAAATCGGGAAGATAGTACAGACAGTTTCAATGTCCTGGCACACAGCTTCCCCTATTACTAATATTTTACATTGGTGTGTTACATTTGTTAATGTGAATGCCTCACTATGGATATTAGCAAAATTCCATTTATTCAGATTTCCTTAGCTTAAACTAATCTCTTTTCCACCTGATAGACCCAACCTGATCTTTGCTTAAAATTGGGAGCCATCTCTCCACAAAGCCATGAAAAGCTAATTTCGGCTCTACTATAAATTACTGCAGATTCTGAACCTGCCTGGAATGCCTGCCCGTGCCTTGATCTCACCCATGCCTGGCTCTCTGACCAGATAGCAGCCCTCTCTGAAACTTTATTGAGGCCTCACAAATCTTGGCCTTCCCTGGCCAGACAACGACCCTCTCTGAGGCTCTAGTGACCTTCATAAATTCTGATGTCGGGGCCAGCAAAAATGTAAACTACCATTAGTGTGATGCTCGTCAGAGTTCTGTTATCTGTGACCCCCCCCCTTTATGTAACTTTCTGGGCTGTAAAGCTGGGCTGCAGGAAAGCTGGGATGCTGTCTTGTTCCCGCCGATTTGGGAGGGAGAGGCAGCCTGGCCGGTGGAAATAATAAGCTTGCTTTAATTTGATTTTAATTGGTCTTTTCTTTCATCCTGGTCTAACACACCTTCCAGGATTACGTGTTTACTTCAATTATTTTGATTCTCATTATTGTTTTTGTTGTAATAGGTTGTCAACAAATACCTCTCCTTCTCCTTCCCTAGCTTGCTCTTAGCCTTTTTTTATTTTTAGGAAGTAGGGTGTGAAGCTGAACTTGAAGGCTGGACACTGGCCCAGGGCTGGGGAATGTGCAAGGCCCCTGGGTGTTGGTGGGTGGCCAGTGCCGGGGCTTTGCTTTGAGCCGAGGAGGAATGTGAAGTTCAGGGTGGGTGGGTGGAATCTGAGCTGCTCAGGTTGCAGTCGAAACCACAAGCCCAAAGCTTCTGTTGAGCAACAGAGTATCTTCCAGCAATTGCTTCAAGATGAATCAGAGAGATTTCTTGACCCAAGGTTGAAGGCGAAGTCTAGACAGCATTATAAAAGCCTCCTGGGCTCACGCTCTTCACCAGTGCTGGCTTTCCGCTGCTGCTCCACGCTTTTGTGCATTGAAGGGTAAGTGTCCTTTCCTTGGCTGGCTCCTTAGGTGTCCCATAGGATTGTGATCGCAGGTGGTCACTTTGCAATCACAGGTGTCAGAGGCCTCCGCTTGCCTGGGCACTTCTGGGCTGCTCCCACATTTTGAATTCAAGCTCCTACGGTGCTAGGTGGATCCAGCCTCAGGCATGGCTTACCAGGGCTGGGGTGTCTGTAGACGTTGCATGGCCAAAGTATGGTTATCTGGGGAAAGCAAAGAGCAACGTCAGCTATAGAACCCTTCGCAGGGAGCCTAAGTGAGCAGTAACCTCTAAATGGTCTTGCCCGGTGGATGAGGTGGCGTGTGACACCACGGGCAACTGGGGTTGATTCTGTCAGACTTTAGACAGTGTCTCCTTCTCTCCTATCCACAAATCAAAAATTCACCGTGGTGCCTACTTGGAGCAGAGAGACCCCAAGTGGATCTGGAGGATGTCCGTCATGGTTTTTTCTGCTCCCTAGATACAGAAAGAGGGGAGAGTGGATGGTAAGGTTTCGGGAGGAAGTGAAGCTGGACCTCTTTTGTCTTCTAGAAGGTGAACTTGAGGTTGGGAAGATGCCCACTTTGGAAGAGCACTTGGAGGGGATCATCAACATCTTCCACCAGTGCTCAGCTCTGGTGGGGAATTATGACACCCTCTCCAAGAGTGAGATGAAGAAGCTGATAACGAGGGAACTTGCCAACACCATCAAGGTAGGTGCTGCCCATCTCGTCACCACTTGTCCTCCCCCGGCACCGAGGAGGTGGCGAGTTCCGGGAGAGGATGGCGGGACAAGGACTGGGCTCCCAAGGGCCTTCTCCCCCTGCCGTGGGGTCGGGCTTCTGCTGCCCTCTCTCACACTCGCTCTCCTTTGGGGCTTTACTCAGTTTCTCACTCTGGGATTTGTGTCCTCAAGTGCCAAGGTGCCGGGGAGGGGAGGCCTGGGTGAGACGCGCTGCAGAGCACTTTCCAGGTCAAGCCTTGCGGGAGTCTGGGGTGGCTCGTCTGGAATGTCAGTCCCATCCTCTGTCTTGTCATGTGGCATTCCCCAGTGCCACCTCAATGACTTAGTGTCCTAGACGTCACTAAACTGAGTCCCGAGGGCTGAGGGGTCCAAGAAGGGTCGGTGGGGGAGTTTGATACTGAGGGGCTGAACTCACGGTCTCTGTTCTCTCTCCTAGAATACCCAAGACCCAGCTACCATTGACAGAATCTTCCAGGATCTGGATGATAATCAAGACGGACAGGTCGACTTTAGGGAATTCCTGTTACTGGTGGCCTCTGTGCTGGAGACAGCCCACAAGAACCTCCACCGAGAGTAGCCACCTCTCTGAGAGCCTTTTCCCCATGTCCTGAGGCGTCTGTTTCCCCCTCACCACAGCCCTGCTTGGCCTGACGGGAGTGAGGGTTAATAAAAATTAATTTCACGAAAAATTCTTAACGGCATCTGTCCACTTTTCTCTCTCTCCGCGCATGGTCCCTCGACTTAGCTACACGTCACCTTGCTATTCTGACAGCCTCATTTAGACCCTTTAAACCCCTGGCTCCATTTGTCTACCCCATATTTACTGAAAGCCCACTGCTTGTTTAAAAAAATATTCATTGAATATTTGTGACAGCCAGAGACCAAAGTAACAAAGTCCTTGTCCCCTCAGAGTTTATATTCCACTGGGAAGTAAATGAATAGTCAAACATATATATCATGGTAACATCGTTAGGTGATAATAAATGATGTGAATGAAACTGAAGCAGGGAATTTGGGCCGGGGTAGAAGGAGAAAGAATGGGATGTTAGTTTGGATGGAATGTTTTGGGTATGCATTGGAGGAGAAGTCGGAAAGAAACGAAGGGGAGTGGCCTGCAGATATCTGGCATCCGGGAGTTCCTGACAGGGAAAGATCAAGGTCCTGAGGTGGGCCTAGGCTCAAAGAATGGCACAAAAGCCAGTGTACCTGGCACACAATGACCGAGATGGGGAGTGGGGGTAGGTGGGATACGGTCTGCAGGAGAGAGGACTACATCACATCAAGGATATAAAAATTCCTATTTAGATATTTTACATTCTTATCCTTTGTTTAAAGTCTTTGAAATCCAAGGTGTATTTTAGACTTTCAGTATATCTCATAGCTACAGCTACATTTTTTAAAAATTTATGTTTTAGTTGTAGTTGGACGCAATACCTTTATTTTATTGATTTATTTTTATGTGGTGCTGAGGATCCAACCCAGGGCCTCGCACGTGCTAGGCGAGCGCTCTACCGCTGAGCCACAACCCCAGCCCCGCTACAGCTACATTTTAAGGGCTCAGTAGCCGCGTATAGTTCATGGCCACCATATTGGATATTGCAGCCCAAGGTCATTGGTCGGAAGCCGGACTGGGCTAGGAGGCTGGTGACAAGGAGAAATCAGATGCTGAAGACATTCTGAAGGTGGAAAGTGAGAGATCACAGTTTACTCCAAAGGTTTTTTTTTTTTTTTTTTTTTTTTTTCTCTCTGACATTGAGCTGGGTGTTGGGGGTATAGAAATGAAAAACTAAGCGTTGCCTTCAGGTGCTTGATTCTGGAGAGGAAAACTGAGAGTCAGCAGAAGTTTCCATGTCATGACATGCATATTTCAGCAGAAGTAAGCACGGGACACTGTGGGAGAACAGGAAGGTGGCCCGGCTCGGGGGGTGAGGCTGTTGGGCTTCCTGAAAGAACAGACACTTGGAGATGATATTTGGGGTAGAACTTTGAAAACAGGGAAAATAATCCGGTACTTGCATGTTTCTGAGCATGGGGTTGTAAGGAACAATTTCTCTGGTTCTCTCAGAAGGGACAGGAAGGAGTTGGGAAGAACAGAAGTAGGGACCAGGGAGTAGAATGCTATGCTCTGTCCGACCTAGAGTAACCGGCAGGAAGGCCTCTCTGTGTAGACCCTTGATGGTCCGGGCCAAGTTCTTGGCTCAACACCACCCGAGAGGGGTGCGGTCTCCTTTGGTGTCTCTCTCTTGTCTGTGAGCCACAGAGAGGCACAGGCATCGATGTGATTTTGCTTAATGCCCACACCCCAGTGGACCGGGTTGTTTGAGAACAGGTGCCCAGAACCTGGCAGTGGGGGGTGCTTGCTGTTTGGGTCCTTCCAAAATTCATGTTGAAACCGAATCCCCGACGTAACAGTATGGAACGGTGGTGGCTTTAGGAGGTCAAATACCATGAAAGCTCCACCCTCACAGAGAGGTACGGTGCCTTATTGGAAAGGCTTACTGGGGTGAGTCCCTTTCTCCACCTGAGACTCAGCATTCATCCCCTATGGAGGATGCAGCTCCGGGGCCTCCTCTCGGAAGCAGAGAGCAGCCCTCGCGAGACATGGAATCTCTCAAAGTCCGGGTCTTGGGCTGTGAAGCGTCCCCAAATGGGAGAAATAAAATTCTATTTTATAAGTTCCCCAACCTGCAGCCTTTTGTTGTAGCGGTTCAAATGGACTAACTCAGTGTCGGATAAGTATTTTTTTAATGAAAAAATGTGTGGACATCAATAAGGCTATGGGTTTGGTTTTCTCTTTAATTTTTCTTTCTTTTTTTTAAAAAATATTTTTTGATATTTATTTTTTAGTTATAGGTGGGCACAATATTTTATTTTTAGGTGGTGCTGAGGATCGAATCCAGTGCCTCATGCATGCTAGGCGAGCGCTCTACCACTGAACCCCAGCTCCAGCCCTAAATTTTGTTGATACCAAGGTTTGAACCCACTTAACCCCTGTGCCACATCCTTTGGCCTTTTATTTTTTTATTCTGAGACAGAGTTTAGCTGAGTTGCTTAGGACCTCACTAAGTTTCTGAGGCTGGCTTTGAATTTGTGATCCTCCTCCCTCAGCCTCCCCAGCGGCTGGGATTTCAGGAGTGCACCACCACACCTGGCGGTTGGTTTTCCACAAAGGGTTCCAGAGGAGAACAGAGAGTATGAGCCCGGGGTGCAGGAATGATGTCTGAAAGGGCCAGGTGGGTTAGTATTCCAGTCTGGTTATCAGGAGTCAATGGAACCTCCCTGTCCTCCGATCCTGCCTCCCTCCCGCTAACGCTGATGCTCTGCTGGGATGGATGGGGAGCTTGGAACAGGAGCAAGCCCTGCCCTTGGGAATCAGATGGCTTTATCAGAATGTCAAGGTACCCAAGGAGAGGCCCCCAGGGCAGAGCCCTGGGCTCTGGCAGACCGGTCACTGGCTGCCAGCCTCTCTTTCAGCAGCAGGCACAGCTCAGAGGGTAGCATCTGAGGGAGATCTAAGGGACACTCTACCCGTGGGTAGATATGGGGAAGTCCAAGAGGCGCGCTGCCCATTGTGGGGACACAGCTTGGCCTCGGGCTTGTTGGGTGAGAAGCCACATGGAAATGACGTGCAGGACGCTGGGATCCCCGGTCCCCGCGCTGGTGTCTGAGCGGAGCAGAGAGGAAGCAGGGAGGGTTGAAAGTGTGCGAGGACGGGGCAGGGCAGGAGGCCAAAGACGGTGAAGGAGGATTGGCAGAGGAGGAAGGGTTGGAACCCAGAGAGGAGGGTCCTGGGATTGTCAAAGCCTGGAAGCTTCCATCACCACGGGTGGGCTCCGTTTCCCTCACTTGGAGGAATCCAAAGGAGTTTTAGAATTTCAGTTTCGAGGAGCTTCAGACTAGGCGAACACTAAGTTGTCACCCACTTTTGACGTCCTGAGAGACTACGACTGGATGGAGGGGGATTCTGAGGAGGCCCAGAAGGGGAGCGTCGCTTCACGTGAGGGTACCCAGGGTGACCTCCCCAGGGTGCACTCGAGGGGAGCAGTCGAGGGGATGGGGACTGAGTTCTGTTTCCTGGCTCTTCTCCTCGTTTGGCCACTTACTCATTGTGAAACTTGGAACAAAGAACTTCAAATCTTTCAACTTTAGTTTCCTCCTCAATCACACGGGGCTAACCATGGGAGCTTTCTCCCAGGGTGGGTGGGAGGCTTAGCTGGTCTCCAAGCATCTGTCAGCCACTTGGCCCCAGACGCCGCCCGGGAAGTACTTAAGAGAAATTAGTAAGAAGGGAGTTAGGATTTGCATATGAGGCGTCTCCGCAAAGCTCCTGTGTTAAGGCAGGAATGCTCGGAGGTGAGATGAGCGGACTGTGGGAGCCGAGACCCATCAGTGCGTCCCAGTTCGAAGGGCCTGGGTGGTGACTATAGGCAGGAGGGGCGCGCAGGACGAGGTGAGTCACCGGGACCTGCCCTGAGAGGCGCATCTTCCCGGTGGCCTTTCCTTCTCTCCCCCTTGTTTGCTTCCTTCTGCCGTGAGCTGAGCGGTGCTTCTGCACACACCCTCCTACCACGAGGTTCTGCCTCACCTCGGCCCAGAGCAGTGCAGGCAGCTGCCCATGCACGGAACCTCTGAACCTGTGAGCCAAACTGAACCCTCCCTCCTCTAAACTGTTCTTTGTTCTTGTCAGACACTGTGATCACAGAGATTCGAAGGTGATTAACACAAACAACAAGGCAGTTTGTACAAGGGATAATGGCAGCTCACCTATTCTCTGCAATGTATCAACAGGTAGAGATTATTTTACACTGAAGCAAAGATTAACGTTAAATTTAGGGGAAGCTTGGGTCGTCAAGTAACCAGGGGTGACTATACAATAGCTTCCTTTCTTTTATTTCTCAAATATTTAGTTTTTAGTTGTAGTTGGACACAACACCTTTATTTTACTTATTTTTATGTGGTGCTGAGGATCGAACCCAGGGCCTCACATGGGCTAGGTGCGCACTGTACCACAGAGCCACAACCCCACCCTACAATATCTTTCTTTAAAGGCCTTTGAACTAGATCAAGCTTCTGTGTCATTTAATGCACTCACACGTATTTCTGATCATTTTGGATGTAAATCATAGTAAAACCAACAACCAACAAGAAGAACAAAACCCAGTGTATTTGCTGTAGCGAGAACATTCACTAGGATTCTTTTCCCCCTACAACAACCTGCTGAGCCACAAACTGAGCTGAAATCATAGGAAGAATTCATGAACTGATAAATCTAGTCAAGAATCCATCCGTCAGAGGCATGCAAGGGTGAAAACAGCCTTCGAGTTACAATCACTCGAGATGGATCGACTCCTGCTTCAACTGCTTCTTGGCCTTGTGGCTTGGGCTGGTGGCTGTGCAGTTCTCCGAGCCCAGTTTTTCTATCTGTAAAGTGTTTGCACTAGTGACCGCTAGTGCCTTCATGAGAACAGAGTCTAGACTCCGAGACTTCAGCAGGTGTCATTAAACAAGCAAACAAACACAAGTGCTGTTAGGATCACGGAGCCACAGAGAGCGGATCTGTCCTCCCGTGTCCACTATCAGCCTCTGTCCACCCGCTGAAGCTCTTTGTCCCGCCCCTCCAGAGCATGCTCCGGTTTTCCCAGGAACTTTCGGACTTCCCGGGTTTTGCTCTCGCTCTCCGGTTTCAGTAAG